CACCTGGCTCCCTTTGATTCTCAGCTCAAGGCTCCTGCATCCTGGTGGAGGCAGAAGGGAAAAGTTCCTAATGGTTCCCGAATTTACATCCCAACAGGGAAGAGTCAACAGATAGTTTCAGAATTTACATCCCAGCAAGGAAGAGGCAACAAATGGTTTCAGAATTTACATTCCAATAAGGAAAGGCCAATGGTTTCACTCTAAAGCTCTACTAGGGAGGGGGCAGGAAAGGGAGAGTTACTAATTAGTAGAGTTTTAACTCAGGAATCTCCCTCAGGGTTTCAAGGGACCTTACAGTGCTTTAGCCCCAGTTCATAATCTGAATGTCTCTCCTTGCCTCCCACCTTCCCTTTCCTTTCTCATAAACTCATTCCTCTGCCCTCCCCTTAGATTCCCTCCCTCATCCCCCCACACCGAACTGATAGAAATCTTTAAATGTTACTGATGGTTTCTCAGCTGTGAATTTGAATTTCACATGGGTCAAATTTTCAATTTTTCTGAGCCCGAAGGAGGCTATGACCCAAATGAGCTGATGCCTTAACCTTTTCTGGGATCCTGGAATTCTCAGCTCTTGGCAAAATTACGAAAGGCAGGGAGATCTGGGTCTTCAAATCTTGTCACAGCTCACTTATACAGCTCACTTTTAGCCTATATATATATATATATATATATATATATATATATATATATATATTCACTTGCAAATGCTGCCACAAACATGTCTAATCTACAAAGAGCTATATATTTTTTTTCCTGGTAGGGGGAATTTGGACCCATAATCCCCAGCAGTACTCAGGGGATATAGGTCACTGTGCTTATGGTTCTGTGCCTATGGGTCACTCCTTGGGGAGCTATTTATGGTGTCAGAGATCAAACTAGAGAAGCCACATGCAAGATAAACATCTTAACCCCTGTTCTATCTCGCTGACCTCTGAAGAGGCAAAATCTTAATTAATCCACAGAAACAAACTTCATTCAGCAGTGGAGATGAGCAATGGAGGTAGGCTCACCACTGGAGCTCGGAACTTACAGAAAAACATTACATAACCCTCATCCTGGAACCTCCTTATCCTTATTTTGACCCAGCAATTATAATTCTTCCGTAAAAGGTGGAGTTTTGCTTCCTCCAGAGAGAAACTATATGTTCAAAGAAATTCTGTCCTTTGTTTAGGATGGGGCTTTTCCTCTGAACTGGGCCAGATTTCAATCATGTGGGACTGGAGCACGTTCCTTTGAATGAAACAGAAGTCAAACAATAGCAGCAACATTAGTGCCTATAACTCACTTCCGACAGAAACCCCAGAGAGTGTGGAGGGAATGACCTTCTCTAGGCCTGACTATGGGCTTCCTCATGTTTGTAGCAGGGTGAAGGAAATAGAGATGTAAATCTGGAGTTAATTTCTAACTGGGTGTTTGGAGATAAAAGTCTGGCTGGTGACTGGACTGCTTCTTATGTAACCTGAACATTTAGCAGCAGAATTTTTGTACATTTTTAAACTCAATCATATATTTAAAGCATGGGAACAGACCAAACCAATGCAAACAAACCCTGGGCTCCAGATCACAGCAGGAAGGGGGCTGGAAGAAGGGCCAGAGATCCAATGGAGTACATGGACTTTGGCTGTGGTTGTGGTATGATTTAAGTAGGAATGGAAGTGGATTTTTCATTCAGTTGTATAAGCCAATGTCATCTCAAAATAAAATCTGTAGCACTGTCTGTAGCACTGTCCTCCTGTTGTTCATCTATTAGCTCGAGCCGGCACCAGTAACGTCTCCATTGTGAGACTTGTTATCACTGTTTTTGGCATATCGAATACATCATGGAGAACTTGCCAGGTTCTGCCATGTGGGTGGGATACTCTCGGTAGCTTGCTGGGCTCTCTGAGAGAGACGGAGGAATTGAACCCGGTTTGGTAGCGTGCAAGGCAAACGCCCTACCCACTGTGCTATCAGTCCAGCCACTGCACAAAATAAAATCATTGCAAAGTTATCACAATCACGATCATCCTGTTGTTTGTTGATTGCCTCGAGCAGGCACCAGCAACATCTCCTTCGTCCTAGCCCTGAGATTTTAAAGTGCCATAATCAAGGCCCTTTCAGGTTTAAAAGAAAGAGACCCATCATTGTTACTGGTATTTGGCATATTGGGTACGCCACGGGGAGTTTGCCAGAGTCTGCCATGTGTGCAGGTTACATTTGGTAGCAAAGTAAATCATAAAAATGTTTTTACCTGCTCTGCCATATTACTGATCTGAAAACTGTTAAGATGACAGGGGAGGAGATGATCCATGATAACTTTCATTTGACAAATTAAGAAACTAAATTTAAGCACTTAAATGACTTTGTTGAAATTATGTACTAAGTCTTCACTGGATGCCTTACCTTCACCAGAACGTTCTACCCACTAAACCACCAATAACATCACCCTGTAAAAAGTGCAGATTCTTAGAGCCACCTCAGACCTTCTGAACTTGTGTGTGTGTGTGTGTGTGTGTGTGTGTGGTGTCGCGGGGGGAGGTGGGAGGTTGTTGGCCGCAGTGTGTTTAATTCAGTTCTCTAGAGGATATTGATGCCTCTTCAGCTGGAAATGAGTCCTGAGGAGTCTTGATTGCGGCTGCTACAAAATCTTCCATCTCATACCTTTGTTTCGAAGGAACGTTTTTTGGATGGTGGGAGGGATTTGAACTCCCCAGTGAAACTTTCTGGCTCTGCTCATGTGTGATGCCGGAGATAGAACCAGGGTCAGCCACACATACAAGTGCCTGTACTATGTCTCCAGCCTCTGGTGGGACCATTTTAGCCCCCTCCCCCATTTTTGTTTACAGTGCATTTTCACTCCACAGAATTGCCATAAAGTAGATACCTGAGATGTGTGGTAGCACAAAGCCTAGACTGCTCAGACTCTGAACAATTTGCTTCTAGTACTAGGCAGAGCCAGGTCTCTGTCATATGGAGGCTGACAGAGACTGGTCATGTGAGTTCTCATTGGACTTGATATTTTCAGGAACTTTTTCAGCTGGCTATATTTTATCTCATTAGGAACTGTGCAAAGATTGTCTCAAAATACTTCTCTTAAAATTTTCTTCTGGGATTGCTCCATGGTTGAAAGCCTGCCTCATGACCTGGAGGAGAAGGCAGCTGGGATAGAGAAGGGATCCCTAAGTCAATGATGGTTGGAGGGTTCTCTCGGAATGGGAGATGTATGTTGAAAGTAGATAAAGGACCAAACAGGATGGCCTCTCAATATCTGTATTGCAAACCATAATGCCCAAAAGGGGAGAGAGAGAGAGAGTAAGAAGGAAATTGTCTGCTATAGAGGCAGGGGGTGGGACTGGGTGGGGATAGCAGGAGGGATACTGGGACATTAGTGGTGGAAAATGTACACTGGTAGAGGGAAGGGTGTTGGATCACTTTATGGGACTGAAACTCAATCATGAAAGTTTTGTAACTATATCACGGTGGTTCAACAAAAAAGGGAGGGGAGACTAAATAAATACAAATTTCATTTAAAATAAATCAATAAATACGTAAAATTTTCTTCTGGGTCTTCAGGGACTGATTCAGTGACTAAAGTCACCTACAAGAGTAAGGCCTTAAGTTTGATTACTGGTATCACCCCCGTGTGCCAAGTGTAGTCCTAATGACTTTGTTGCTAAGGATTCTCGATGGCCCAAAGGAGTGTGATATTTCAGGTACACAATCAGGGGTAGTAAAGCACCTCAGCTAAAGAGAAAGACCCCTTACTGCCCTGTATAAGCAACAACTGAAGGTTGTGTGTGTACCTTGGCCAAGAGTGCAACCCACAATGAACAGATGTGTGAGCACCACAGTGATGTACCATGTGGAGTGCTCAACACAAATATGGGAGAGGAAAATCGAGTGTGAACCCCTAAAAGCACACGGACAAATACTGTAACTGAAAGTGAAGTCTCCAAGAACACTGCAACCACGAATGAATGCACCTCTAGTCGTTAAAACAACAAAAGGGAGTAAAGAGGAAATAAAATGTACAGTAGAATTCTGAGCTTTAAATTTTTTTTTTTTTACCTGGGGCTGGAGCAATAGCACAGCAGGTAAGACATTTGCCTTGCACGTGGACAACTTGGGTTCGATTCCCAGCATTCCATATGGTCCCCCGAGCACCACCAGGAGTAATTCCTGAGTGCATGAACCAGGAGAAACCCCTGCGCAATGCCGGGTGTGACCCAAAAAGAAAAAAATATTCTTTTTCCTGACACTTTAATTTTGTTAGCATAACAATTTTGTTGACACATGAATAAAACATATGGTCAAACTTCAAAAGAGCTGAAGAAGAGCTTTTGGACATTTCACCACCACACACAAAAATTTACATATAATATTGGATGCATACAAAGTTCTGAGTAAATATTTATTGAATTTATTAACCACCTTTTTTGAAGAGGATGATGATAGCAGTATTATAGAACCTTGATGTCAGAAGCTTTATCTGAAGTACTTTAGCATATAAGATCTAAAAAGAATAAAAATACTGACGTTTTTGGTAAAAAAAATAAGAATTTAAATATTTGATTCTAATGCAAATGATGTGTGATTTTATTCCATTTGTTAGATGCCACAGAATTAAAAAATGTTTCTGCATTGTAATTGTTTATTCAAGTATTGGTTTGTTCATTAATTTTTACTGAATTCCTACAGTGTTCCCAGTCTGGGAAATGAGAACCTGGCCACAAAGGGCTTACAGTCTACAGGAGTGACCGTTGATTAAACAGGTGATTTGCAATGAAGTGAAAGACTCAGGTATCCACTAAACACCTCCAATGTACAAAGCATGGAAACAAAAACACGAGGTGGGGGTGGAGAAAAGCCTTAATAGACATACATGAGACTGGAGGCCTGGGTATCAGGCCGTCTATTCAGAACATGGCAGAGAAAAATCACTCCAAACTGCACAGAATATCAGAAGGGCAGGTTTGAGTAGAGATCACACTTTTGTGGTCTTGCTGAGGCCAATGCGGGATTCACTGCTTTGACCTTCGGGAAAGGATGGAGATGATAGTGAAGGTCAAGCAGATAGCTCCGGCTGTACCTCCAATAATCAGGCCCAGGAGGCTGCCATGCACCTGCATGGCCTGACAGCGCTCTCCTGTGTAGAAGAAGGCATGGCCGGAGACACACCTGAGAGAACAGGACACAGGGAGAGGGCGAGAGTTACATACCAATGCAGCAGTGATAGGAGTACTTTATGAGTTCATTCACTGAATTCTGTAACAAACCTTTGTGGAGGTGACTATTGCCAGGTCATTCTTATCATCTTCATTTACAGAAAAGTACAATAACTTCCTCAAGTTCACATAGGTACTAAGTGTTTTACATGTGTGGTCTAATCCTGAGAATGCTGCACCAAGTTCCCTTTCTCTTATCTGCTACATGCAGAGTTGAAGAGGAAGATCTGGGCCACATAAATATCGTGTTGTTTGACTCAGACTATGAGCTACAAGAACAGTTCTACAGGTAGATATTGATTTGATACATCAGTATCAGGAATTAAAACTTCTAAACAATAATAATTTGAATATTTTATTTATTTATTTGTTCCTTGGGCCACAGCCGGCGATGCACAGGAGTTACTTGTGGTTCATGCACTCAGGAATTACTCCTGGCGGTGCTTGGGGAACCATATGGGATGCTGGGAATCGAACCTAGGTCGGCTGTGTGCAAGGCAAACGCCCTACCCACTGTGCTATTGCTCCAGCCCCTGAATACTTCTTTCAGGTGAATTGTGTCACTAGCTCTCAACAGTTTACCTTGAAGATAATGATATAATGAGGATGAGACTCACATGAGATAATGAGGACACTGTATAGCACATAATGATCACACTTTGTTGTTTTTGTTTCAATATTTGACATAAGTTCAACCAATCTCAGAGCCAAGGCATTAGCAGTGCAATGATAATCATCCTTACCATTAATGATTTCAGGTTTCAGAGGACATTCCTATGACAAAGTACTCACGAGTTAGGTGAGATGAGAAAAAAAATTCCATAGACTCTTTTATTAATCTTGTTATAATTTTACCTTTCAAGTCCTTTTCTCTGGCCAATGAATTGACTTTTGAAAACTTAGTTTGTTCAATTTTTTCTGGCCTAGTCCTCTCCAAATAAAGTTCAATTATATTCTTTAGTATTACTTTAAAGTGCCTTAATCTATAATTGCAGGTTTGTGGGGAGTAAAATAATTTGGAAAAGTTGAGATGTACACACAATTGGAAACCCCTAAGCTGCCCTTCCCAACAGAGAGAATGCTAGTGTGGGCACATATTGAAATTTGCATCCAATGAACTACAGCAAAGAGCAGACCTAACACTGTGGAGTCCTTGTGAAATGAGGACAAAATCTCTCTTATAGGAATCAGCAGTCTGGGGTCAAGGAATTTGATTACAGGACTCAGATAGGTAAAAAAAGGATAAGAACTTAGGGTGGTGTGGTTCTAGAAAGCAACAGTACGTTTATGAATGGTAATGCTGTTGGATAGCTATTGGATGCTATTGTTACACGGATGTTTCATGAGTGCTGTTGAAAGACAAGGAGTCAGACCAGAAGAGCTGCCAAAGGTTAAAGTAGGAAGAATAGGCAGCACAATAAATGTAAGCAGCAGGACATGGGGAATGATGTAGTATTTTTGCAATGCACTTGTAAATCTAAAATCAATTCAAAACGAAAACTGAAAATTAAGAAAAAGCAAAGTAAATACTGAAAAAGAAATATAGGTATTTTGAACCCACCCCAAGTGTTCTTACATCTGCTTCTTCTATCAAATAAAGCTGGTGTTTCTTTCATCACTTGTACTTTTTTCGTGTTGGCTTTTATGGGCCACACCCATCAGTGCTCAGGGTTTACTCCTTTCTCACTCAGTGATTACTTCTGGTTGTCTCAGGGAACCATGTGGGGTGCTGAAGATCAAATCCAGGTAGGCTGCATGCAAGGCAATTATCCTACCAATTATACTGTGGATCGATGGATCTGGCCCAATCATCTTTTTATGAAATAGTTTATGAAAGAACAAACCCTAGAAGAACTGCTAAATATATCCAATAGTGCAGAAAAGTTTGGATGTAAGTCTTAGATCCACTGTTTAACATCATGATTGTTTACTTATTTATTTGGTTTTTGAAATACTTCACAGTACTTGAGGGAAGGGATTCCTCCTGGCGGTACTTGGAATCAGGCAGTGGAGAGAATCAAACCCAAAACACCCACAAGTCCTTTGAGCTATTTTCCTGGCCACTTTCTGGACTATTTTATACAATTGACTGAACCTCTCTAGGCTCTACCTTCCTAATGACCAGAATTGGAATTTGAATCATCCTGTGTCATAGAGTGTCTGTAGGAATAACTTAGATTATATACCTAAAGCAGGTCCTCAAATAACAGATTCATTCAGTATCGCCTTTTTAATCGTGGATGGGAAAAAGACAAACTTGTCCCACTTTGGAAAATGAAGGCAGTTATTCAAGGATCTGATTTCACAACACGTTATTTTGCTTAATTGAAGTCTTACTATATCCTGCTCAAAAAATCATGTTACAGGGGCTGGAGAGATAGCACAGCGAGTAGGGAGTTTGCCTTGCACGCGGCCGACCCAGGTTCGATTCCCAGCATCCCATATGGTCCCCAGAGCACCACCAGGAGTAACTCTTAAGTGCATCGCCAGGTGTGACCCAAAAAGCAAAAAAAAAAATCATGTTACATATAGCAAATCTTCAAATTTTCCAGATATTCCTTGTGTTATCATTGAAAGTATGTATAGAAAGCATTGCACTATCAGAGTACAACAAATAATAGAAAATAGAAATGACAATTATATTAATTAAGAGGTGACAGTAAGATCTACAGTGAGTGAGAGCCTGAGTATCTCTGGGCAGGACCTAGAACAGGAAATTCCTAGGCAAGAAGCTCTAGGTGATGGGAGCACTAAGGTGAAGTGCCAACTGCATTCAAAATGCTGGGAAAAGAAAAGGGATGAAAGTGAAGAGACAGACTGCTTGGTTTTCCTCTGCCCTAGCAGGACTCCTGTGCTGTTCACCAGTTGAAAGTAACAGCTTTGTTCAGCCAAGGACAACCAAGTCAACCACACCAGTTGATCCTTTGCATTTTATCACAGTCAAGCAAACACTCCATGCATGTCTGCTCATTCACACATGCCCCACCCTCACCCCCCATCCCCTGCCATGGAACTTACCTGCAACTTGCCATCCCCTTCACATTTACACAGATGCCTTCGTTTTGACAAGGGTTGGGGTCACAGGGATCTCTGAAGTATTGTGGCCAGTTGTGATCCTCCATGGGGCCTGTGTTCTCCACTGACCGCTTCTGTCGGCTGGGCTGCTCCTGGCTTAGGCTGCCTGATGAGAATCTCTCCCCAATGGCCTTTTTGGAATCATCTTCTGAGAAGTTCTGCTGCTCCTGGTCTTGAAGAATCAGGTCTGGAGGGGTCAGTCTTGTATTTTTAATGGGAACTTCAGTCTTGGAAAGGTGGGTGATATCTTGAGGAAACAGACAAGAGATGATGAGGAAGATCCTTAATTAATATCTATCTATAATTAACTTCCCCTGAAGATATTTTCCTGAACTGCTTCAGCTCAAGGATACCTCAGTGACATCACTTTTAGTGCATGGGAGGGTGGCTTCAATACAGTTTGATTGTCATAATGCTAGTACATCTTAATGAAGTCAATAGCATTCATTTAGTTTGATAAAAAGAGGTATAAAGGATAGATAGATAGAATGATTAAAACTAAACTTAGTCAATAAAATGCCATGCTATATATGATTAATATTTTTTAAATGACACTAAAGTTTTCATCTCTCCTAAGAACAGTTAAAGATATAAGTCCTTGAACACCAGAGTAAAGTGTATATATTTTTTAGAGCGCATCTCTTTTTTGCCAAAGGAAGGACCTCTAGGATATATAGATTACTTTAAAATCAACATTAGCTAAGTAGAATATTCAGAACATAGTCTTATTTCAGGAATACAACAAAAATTACCTTCAAAATCCACAAACACTATAAGGTCATCGTTTTTAAGGAAACTTCTTCTTTTCAGTGTTTCATGGGAAATGAATTTAGGCCAGCCCCAGCCAGAGTTTCTAAAACAATTACAAGTGGAATCTAAGGACCCCACGAGGGATGGCCGTTCCCAGATGACAGCGTTATTTATTGCTGCAAGAAAGGTACATATAACATAAATCACATTATTTCTTTATACTCACTTTCCAATTTTTCTTTAATTAATATATTGAGCTTTGCTAATCAGAAAATATATATTGGAAAAATAGACTATTTACATTTTCTAAGCGAATTAAAACTGAATATTGAGGTGGAAGGGAATGATAACTGCATTTCTGAATGGCCATTTTTCCACTCTTGAGTTGCTTTCTTCATGAAGAGGGAGGTATGGTTATAGTGTCTTCCCTTAAAGACTTAAGGCTCTTCTTATAAAAGAATAGATCATTTATTTATTAATAGAATTTCTTCCCTGTTAATGCTATTTTAGGAATCAGTGCATTACGTTCACACAAAGATTAAAAAATCCTGGCTATTTGGAAAATGTCTAGCAGTCTCTGTCTTCTCAATTAGACCCAGCTCAGGAGAAAACAACATGACAGAGGTGCTGCTGTTGTTCTAAGTACCCAGTCAGAGGTGGGCACATTGCAAGACTTCAACAAAATCTCAAGGAGTAAATTTAGAAAATAGGGTGAAGATAGGGTGACATAGATATTTTAACTGATACTCCAGTGTGACTATGATGCAGATCTGCCTAAGGGAGAGAGGTGAGAGGAAGGATCATCTCTTTTACACAGAAGTGAATCCCATCTATTGGTTCTTTCAGATGGAGAGAGAGTTCTAACTACCTACCTGAACTTTTTTGGGACGTAGAGGTAGTGAACACCATGCTTGAAGACATTCTGTTCATGACATCAGCCTCCTGGTCCAGTATTGTCATTATTGCCTGCCTGTTTAGTGCAGGCCACTCCAGAACAGCATCATTCTCCCCACTGTACAGATGAAAATAAATTGCAACATAGGGGTTGCTGGATGTGCCTCCACCACGAGGCTTTAAAGTCAAACCAAAGCGGTATCCTTCTGAATTATAGAATAGAGGACTTTGCAAGTCGTTTGTTTGGGCTGTACCCTGAAGAATCTGGGAGAAATTTCGTACTGTCCAAACCCCAGTGGGGCATGGGGTTTCTGTCAGAGTGATGTCATCTAGGTAAATTCCCCCGTTTGAGTTCTGGGGGTCACCTCTCGTTCCCTGGAAAAGGTAGCGAAACTTCTTTTCTTCTCTGAGAGTCACATGGGCAATTTTCCAATTTTGGTCCTTATCTCCTGAGGCTAGAGAAGGTCAATGACAAGAAGAAGGTCAATGACAAATGTTACCAACATTTATTGAGCACTTATGTGTCTGGATGTGTGCCAAGTGCTTTATATGTAATGCTCAGATGACCCTATGACTTAGGTAGTTATAAACCGGCTAAGAGCAATTCCAAAGTCATGTTTCTAGTAGGGCATAATAGTTTTAAAAATTAAAAAGCAATATGACTTATTTTAGAATTTAAATCCAAAACCACAAATGTTTTTTGTCCCACTTATAATAAAACTTCATGGGATCTAAATTTCTTTCTGAGTTTGGTATGATATTATATCCCTATCTGCTACTGTTAGCACTGAATGGCTGAACCATATAAAACAGATATTTTATAAGCCAAAAGTCAAGGTAATTTCATGTGGTCCAAAATCCGGTTTCATTCCAGAAAGATATATTGAAGTTTCTAGAGTGGATAATAATTTCAGAACAAGTGGGAAAAAATTGTCTTATTCCTTAGCATTGAATTTGTTTCTCCTTCATATTAACTGAACTTTCACAAAGAAGGAGTCCATCCTCTTTTAAGAAACAAAGAATACAAAAAGAGTTACCAATACCCAGGTATCAACATTCTAAAAAAAAATTAGATTTACTTCTTTGTTTTTTTTCCCTCTGAGACTGAATTGGAAATGAGTATTCTAAAGAAAGAAAAGAATAATGTGCAAGACTTCTTAAACATGAAATTCTGGACTGCATAGCATAAAAAAAATCATAAAGTAACTTGAGTGGGAGTACCTATTTTGTTCATATGCATTCTGTTTAAAAAAAAAGTTTTCAAAAGCTACCTGTGGCGTATTCAATATGCCAAAAGCAAAAAACAGTAACAAGTCTCACAATGGAGACGTTACTAGTGCCCGCTCGAGCAAATTGATGAACAACAGGAGGACAGTGCTACAGTGCTAAGAGGTATTAAAAATGGTTGCAACTTTTTGGGCTATTCAAAAAAGTTTGTAACTCTTAAGCTGTACACCTCATAATCATAGTACAATACTTAACTAAGTTTGTAGCTGTCTCATTGATGTCAGTATCATAATGAACTACTTAAAATCCTTTTAGTAGTATTTAGATATATTCTTTTAACATATAGTAAGTAAAATGTCGTTCAATGTGTAAGGTGGCTGCCTTGCATGAGGCTGACCCAGGTTTGATCCCTATTACCCTATATGGTCCCCTGAGCACTGCCAAGAGTAATTCCTAAGTACAGAGACAGCAGTACGGCCTCACCACCACTATATGTGATCAAAAATCAAGAGAAGTTTTTTAAAAATTAAACATAAATTAAAAATCTTTTTATAAGATGATTCCAGGGAACTCAGAGCAGAGTGATTCAAGAAGACCAAGCAAAGAGGGCTGCTTGGCTGGTTTCATGCTCACAAAGATAATGTTAGAAGTTTTATATGGAAGTACAATATGAGATACGAGCTATGTTGTTGATATTCTAATTCATTTTTTGTTAAACATTATAGGTGGTCACAATTCTCAGCTCTCAGCAGGCACCTAACGTCTACCCTGCCATTTAATAAAGATGCTCTATAAATTTCAGACAAAAAAAGTAAATCTCTAAAATCTGTTTTATGTGACATTGCCTAAGATCTCAGAATAGGCTGGGTAGAGATGATTTGGGCACTGTTTAAAGTTTCCCAGCATTTACTTTTCAAATTTTTATTATAATTTTATAGATTCATCATTTGTTTACAATATTAAATTTCAAGTGTCTTGTTTTATATCCATTTAATCCTGATCACACACCGCACCACCTGCATTTACTTTTAATCTACCTTTCTACCTGAAATTTTATAACTTTCTAGATACATCTTTTCTGTTGAAAATATTTTTATTTGTAAGTACTCAAAAGCTGATGTAAGCCACAGACAGCAAGAACATTGTTCACAAGGACAGTGTGGGCACAAGGCATTGATTTAGTGTCCATCCACGTGTACTCTTGAGACAGAAACCAATTCACTTATTGTGGCAGGTATGCAGCAGTGGTGACTGAAACTATAAACATGTTTTGTTAAGCATCTCACAATTTTATCTTTAAATTTTTAAGGACTTGAGAAAAGTTACTTATCAAAAGAAAATCTGGACTGCTATTCAATGCTTGTATTTTGTCCAATTTTACTAGGGAGAGCCCTAGTTTTTAGGAAGAATCTCAAACAAAACATCCACCCTTTTGGGTGGGGGGGCTTTTTACTTTGGGGCCACATCTGGTAATGCTCAGGGGTTACTCTTGACTCAGCCTGAAGGAATTACTGCTGGTGGTGCTCAGGGTTACTGCTGGTGATGCTGGTGGTGTTCAGCATATGGGATGCTAGAGATTGAACCCAGGTCAGCCCAAGGCAAACATCCTAGTCACTGTGCTACTTCTCTGGCCTACAAAGCATCCACTGAGACATTTTGCAATGGACAATATAAGAAATCTTACCTGTTTCTTCAGAATTACAAAATACTTTCAGTTAACCCCTGGGTCTGCTTCTAATCTCTGAATCATTAAAACACACATCAAGAGGTTAAAACATGCCAGACATTCTGCTAGTCCTTTCAAAAAGGAGGAAGGGTAGAGAGGAATGGAAGAGAGGAAGAAAAAGAGAAGGATAAAGAGTGGAAGAAGGAGGTGAGAACAGAGGAGGAAAGGTAACTTAAGAACTAAAAAGGAGGAGGAGGAGAAGTTGGAACCCAGATTTTAAGTCAAATGAGTCCTTGTGTGAGTGACTCTAAGTACCTTGAAAGGTCTGCACCTTGAAGAGCTTGCGAACAGAGCCAGTACCATCATCTCTCCGCACCCAGACGGTCAGTCGATCTGAAGAACTTCCGGTCATTCTGTAGAAAAACTGCAGACACTGCTGCTTCCTCTTGGGATAAAGAATCCGAGACTCCAATAGTGCTGCCTCTTCTGATTTTCCCAAGTTGGTGTCAAAGTACATGAAGTAGCCAGCACCTGTGAAGAAACATAATGCAAAACATAGCAAAAGTAAAAAAAAAAATGAGAAGTTGATAAAACTTTATTACATATTTCCTCAGGGACAAAGGGGTTTCCTTTCTTATTAAGGAGCTAAAAACTTTCTTCTCTAGTAAATTCTTACACATGTAGAACATCTTTCCCTATAGTTGTAAATGTTATGGCCTAGCAGTAAACTAACAGGAGACAGAATTTGGAGGCTACTGGAACTTTAGTGAGAACTTCAGACATTACTTATTCTTTGGACACTTGAGATGACATTCTCCATGACAAACTGGGTTTCAATTGTGAAAGAATCAAACCAACTCAGTCAGGTACAGATTAAGGGGCCTTATAACAGTTCTCTTTAAAAAGACTTTTATACCTCCACTTGTTTCCAAATTTAGTTGAGTTTATTGCAGTGATAGAAACATACTCAAAGGGTGCAAATATAAAAAATGAAAATAAATGAAACCTCTGACAAAAAAAAGAAAGATGAAAAAATAAATCAGGAATGAACTTGCTAATTTGCAGCTGGAAGATATTAGTATGTTATGTCCTTCTATCCTCATAGTGAAGTATCACTATCTGGACAGTCAGATAGACTTACAAAAGCTTGAATTTATTAAGCAACCACCTGTGGTGACAATTAGCAAAATGTAGAAGCAAGTGTCTCTTACTCCATCTTTTTCACTGCACAAACCATATACTGGAATTATCCAAAGTTGTTCTATCAAATATGGTGACTATCAAAGATAACAAGTCAAATGTATGTCTGCAGTAGCAAACAAAGTCAGCTCCTAAACTGTGGCCAGTCCAAACTGAAATGTGATACAAGAAGAAACTGTACACTAGGAGAATCTTATGAACACAAGGTGCTGAATCTTATGAAAAATGTTTAATTGAGCACATATAAAATACTAATATTCATATATACTGGATTAAAGAAAACAAACTAAAATATTTCTCTCTCTCTTTCTCTCTCTCTCTTTTTTTTTTTTTTTGCTTTTTGGGTTACGCCCAGTGATGCACAGGGGTTACTCCTGGCTCATGCACTCAGGAATTACTTCTGGCGGTGCTCGGGTGACCATATGGGATACTGGGAATCAAATCAGGGTCAGTTGCGTGCAAAGCAAACACCCTACCTGCTGTAGGCTATTACTCCAGCCCCACTCTCTTATCTTTTCTTTATATGACTATTAACATTTATTATATCTCACCTATGATTAACATTTTAGTTTTCTCAGAGGACATTGCTCTAAAGATTTTGCCCTTATTTTAAAACCATATAGTGTTATCAACTACACGCCCCTATAAAATTTTTATTACTTATTTTTACATCACACATGTGGATCATCTTTTAATCTATAAGAGGGCATTATATGATATCACCATTATTTACACATCAGGTCTTAACTATATGTCCATATAAATTTTTTAATCATTTAAAATTAATCTTTTTTTTCATGCTCAGAAACTGAATGCTTTTTACTGAGTTAATAATTAAGATATTAGAAATGTTCTTTGGCCTTGTTTAGATTCTAGTTTTGATAACTAACATTCCAAATGAGGCAAAACTTGCTGACTTCCATTACTAACTCAACCCAAGGAATGTTCTCGATATGTTTGCTTTTCTGCTTCACTGACCTGTGCATCTTCCTCCCAAGGTGTGATCCGTATCTCCTGGCTGAGTGCTGTCCTTATGGATCCAGTCACCATCATCTCTGGTGCCCTGAATCATCCCACAGATGTTTGCCTTCTCAAAAGCACAGTGGTCCAAAAGGGTATGACTGGCAGCTGCAAAGGATATTTTTTTGGTTACCTTGTTAAAATTGTAAGGCATTTTACTTTAAATACCTTATGTCTTAGATGTTTCCAGTTTTTGAGAAACTCATTGTTCCAATAGAGCAATCAATTGTGATTTTTTTACATTTTGTTATTGTTTTGTTTTTTAAATCATCATAACTGAGGAGTGCCTAACATAATTTACAATTCTGTTAATCATACTTTTCATGTATACATCATTCCAACACCATACTCACCTCTAGAGAGTCCACTTCCTCCACCAGTGTCCCAAGAATCCCTCCCAACCGCCACACTCCCATCTAAACTCAGTTCTATAGACAAAATCTTCAAACTCTGATGACTTTGATCATATGTTATTCCTACTCTATTTTAACCCCACATATGAGAGGTATCTTTCTCTGACTTTTAAATTGTAGAAGTGGTGAACACCTACATATATATAGATAATGTAGCTCATCTTGAATTCCACAAAATTGTAAACCAATGATAAATTTATCATTTATTTTCAAAAACTGTCTCTTTTTTCAAGTATGTAAATAAAAAATAATATTACAAGTAATCCCATAGTAATGCATTTTAAAATTTACATGAATTAGCTAAATCTTACAAATGTAAACTTTAGTAATAGTGAAGAGACTTAAGAAAAACTTAGCAGAAAACGTGAATAGACTTATGAAAGTATAAAAGTTAATTTTATCCCAAGAAAGAGAATATTGGTTTTATGTTGGAATATCATATTATAGATACTGTTAAATCTCTGTTTTAATAAGTTAAATATTATAACGATAAATAATCTCTATGTAAGTACAAACTAATCACCTGATCAGATAATAGAACATTTATTGTATATGAAATGAACGTTCATTATAAATTAATTATTGCAGATGTGTAAAATCTCTTAGTAACCTAGGAGTAAACAGACTTTCTTAATTTATTAGAGAGTAACCATAAGTACCATAAGTGAATACCATACTTAATGCAAGGGCTGAGAGAAGTTTTTCTTGACTTGTAAAGAAGCTTCTTTAACTCTTCTTGCAGGATTGGTTTCATGGCTATGAATTCTCTAAACTGTTGCCTGAAACTCTGCATAATTTCTTCAGATCTGAATGACAATTTAGCATAATGATGTGTTTGCTGATGTGTTCATTTCACTGAGGTTTTTGTGTGTGTGTTTTTTAACCATATACCTTCATTCTCTTCTGCCTCATAGAATCTCGTTTGATAGATCTGCTATGAGTCTTAAGGGCTTGTCTTTGTATGTAAGTTCCTTTTGTGGTCCTATTGCTTTCAATAGTCTGTTTCTACCTTTGGATTTTGTCATTTTGAGTATACTGTGTTTTTGAGTGCAATAAGTTTTCCTATTTGAGCCTGTTTTCTCTGGAACCTTCGAGTCTCTTGTATTCTTGAACTCTTCACATAGTTCTCAAGTTCATTTCTTTTCAGTCTTTTTTTCCTACTTTCTGTTGTTTTCTACATGTTTCCTCTATCTTATCTTGCTTCAATCTTTTCCTCAACTGCTGTTATTCTATTGAGTTATTTTGTATCACCTATCATATTCTTATTTCTGTCATTTCTGTCTGCAGTTTTTTCATTTAGGTTTTCATACTTTCTTATGCTTTGCTAACTTCCTGTGGCATTTCTTTGAGCTCATTAAATATCTTCACAATGGGAGCTGAAGCAATAATACAGCCAGTAGAGCATTTGTCTTGCATGTAGCCAACCTGGGCTCCATCCTGGTCCCTCATATGGTCCCTTGAGCCCACCTGGAGTGATCCTTTAGCACAGAACTGTGAGCAATTCCTGATCACTGCCAGATGTGGCCCCAAAAACAAAAATCAACCAACAAAAAAAATCCATTCTCACAATGATATCACGAAAGTCATTCTCTGAGGACTTATTGAGCTGGTTGGTGTAGGTTGAATCTTCTATGTTACAGTTTTAGCACATTGAATTTGGTGGATTTTACATGTGTTCCTTATTAGATTTTATATGTTCCTGCTGGCCTGAGAATGAATCTTTGTAGTTAACCCTCCTGGGACTCTCTGAGGAACTAGGCTTGAATCAGTCTTATCCTTCCCGGCCTTTCTCTATCCAGTGATTGGAAGTCTAACTGTGATTAGTGTGAAGTTTGATGATGAGCTATTAGTTTAAGAGATGTGGCACTAGACCCATCGAAAATCAATTATTTGGGAGCTGGAGATATAGTACTGTGGGTATGGCACTGGCCTTGCACATGGCTGACCCAGGTTCAATTCTTGTCACCTCATGTAGTACCCTGAGTCCTGCAAGATCAGGTCCCTGAGCACCACCAGGTGACACGGTGACACGGTGCTCCCGTTGTTCATCGATTTGCTCGAGCGGGCCCAGTAACGTCTCCATCATGAGACTTGTTGTTACTGTGTTTGGCATATCGAATACGTCACGGGTAGCTTGCCAGGCTCTGCCGTGGGAGAGAGATACTCTCGGTAGCTTGCTGGGCTCTCCAAGAGGGGCGGAGGAATCGAACTTGGGTTGGCCATGTTGGCCGCTTGTAAGGCGAATGCCCTACCGCTGTGCTATTGCTCCAGCCACTATGACCCAAAAATAAACAAACAGAAGCAAAAAGAAATAAAATTAAATATTCATGGTTTTTGTCCTTTTCTTCTTGCCATCTCCTAGATATTACAATTTTTTCAACATAAATATACCTCATTCCCACCTCAAGTTGGTAAAAATGTGCATTGTTAGAAATTACTATGTAAATAGAAAATATTCCTTTAGTTCAATAATGAGGTACCTATAATGCCAGGCTTCGTACTTAGTAGGTTTTAAGCATGCATATGTTGAATAAAATTAAAGAATATGCCTCTGAAGACACTGGGATTATCTAAGAAAACATCTAATCCCAGAGAGTTAGGTGGTTTCAGGAGCAACAAACTTTGTAATGAATTTTGCAGGTTACAAAATACTTTCAAGTAGTCATCTATCTTTGAGATTTACATAACAATGCATCTTCAAAAGAAAGCTAAGGAAGTTTTACAATTGAAGATTCATCCATTGGTCTAATAGTTGGACTTTATAAACACATAATCAATTTTCATAGCTGTCTTGTGAAGTAGATAATGTAATTGTTCATAGTGGTGGAGAAATTAATGTTACCTAGTTTGTCAATTTGCCTTAGTAAGAGCATAAAAGAATAAAGGACAATAAGTGAAAAACTTATAGGACAGAAGACTCTGTTGAGGCTCTTTTCCTCACTGCTTGGATCCAGAGTACTCACTGCAATTATACATTCGGTTCAGCCGCTCCAAATCAATGGGACTGAAATCCAGACGTTGCCCAATAATAGTATTAAATTCAGGGATCTTGGTGGTGATGGTAGGAACAGATTCATTCTTGTTAAATGAGAATGGTGCATAGTGCATCAGAGACTCATAATCGTAGGGTGTGTTGAGGTCTGTGATCATCTTATCATCATAGACATTAAAGTTGTGATCGTGACCTGTCAGGAGAGAATCCACAGTTCCTGTTCAATTTTATCACTTTCCCCATCCTGCCTTCTTTGAAAAAAACTCAAGAAGCAGACACCCCCAAAAGTACAAAAATGATTACATTAATATGGCAATGCTGATATTAAAGTATAATTATGCTATATTATTTGTGTTAAAAGTGAAAAAAGTGAAAAGTGTTAAAAGTGAAAAGTTTAATAGTAAAATGTACATAAAATAAAATTACCATCACTTATATTAGTTAACACTATGATATAGATACATTGTACATTAGTAATAAATTGTCATGATAAATATAGCAATGCAAATTACATTGAATGCATGTTTACATATCTAAGTTATTCAATATTATTTCATCAAAGATTAATTTTTATTTACAAAAATATGTTAAGGTTCTTAGAAAGAGAAGATAAAATATCAATGTGGAAGCAGTTATTCCAAATAATAGGAAAATAAGTTTCTGAATTGAGAAAAAACATTCAGTGTTAGTATATCTTGTTAATAGTCAAGCACTTCAGCTATAAAGAGTTGTACCTGACTATCTCTCTCCCAACTACAGGTAAGTGAGGGGCCAATAAAAGGGTGCCTGTAAATCAAGATGTGTGCATTGTTCTGCTCCAAAAACAGCCTCAAGAAGAGAAAAATAAAATAAGAATACAATTAAATTTCCTGTCCAAGTTAGAAAGGAAAACATCTCAGAGATGAGTTCAAGAGAAATATACTGTAATGTGAACTGCTGAAATAAGAAGTCAGTCTTTTTAACACCCAGACCTCAGGAAGTTATATTTTAACTACAGCAATGGGAAATTCACAGATTTTAACTTAGTTTTGGGGGAAGAACGGGAAAATTAAATGAGAATATCAATAACTCTTCCAGGCCTAACTTTCCATTCTCATGTTCTCCTTCTCAAATTCCTTGTTATTGCTATCAGTGACTAAGGGAGCTTTAAAGTTGTCTTGGGCAGGAGAAGGGAACAAAGACCAGTGGAACCAGTGGGTTTGGTCTGGGCTTCTGTTATCTGGAGGGGGTTGATGTGAGGAAGCATGAAATGCAGCCTGATAGCTTCCTGGTGCCAGGTGGTTCATATGTCCATGGAGGGGGCAGGGTGATCCTTGATTCTGGGAAATGTTGCTATTTCATCTTGTTGCCAATTGGTCCTGTTGCCATTGCCATTCAGGCAGGGCAAACCTTACACCTACTATCTATCAGGAGTTGTCTTGGGAGGGTGGGTGATCCACAACAATGAATAGGTCAGACATAGTCTTGCCTTCAGAGAACTCAGAACTAAGACATTAGAGGAGAGTGATTTGTAAACGAAAGGTTAGTCTGAAAGCTCTTGTAGAAAGGGTTAGATAGAAAACATCTTTCACAAAGCAATACATACGGGCTCTCCCACAACTACTCAACTTTTTCATTTGTAACATGAAAGTGTGAAAGCATTTATAGATCATAAGTAAACAGACAGGAATGGCTGTGTTCCAACAAAACATTACTGACAAAATAAAGTTGAAGATAGTCCATGAGCTGTGGTTTGCAGACACCTTAGTGGGAGAGAATAAATTCTGAAAACACAAATTTGACTTAAGAAATGGAGATAAATTAGGAGAGACAACTGTATTGTCAGTACAGCAAATTCTTAGGTTATGCAGTAAGATTGGCATCAAGCTAAGAGATGCAATAAAAGTTATACATTGCCCTGAGCAATAATCCTTTTAAATCATATTGCTTTATGTTGTTGTTGGTTGATATCTATTTTAAGAAAATTTCTTCGACTAATGCAGGCAATTTAGACATATAAAATGATATCAGATGCAAATATAGATAGGAGATGAACATACATAGTGAGCACCTCACATTCAATTCAGAACTTAGGAAGCCTGTTAGCTACCCAGAGAAATGTGCTAGTCCCTTTAAGAGCGGGGCCTTTACATTCAAAAGACCAAAAGCAACCAGTGTTGGCGTGGATGTGGCGAGAAAGGGACTCTCCTTCACTGCTGGTGGGAATGCCAACTGGTTCAGCCCTTTTGGAAAACAGTATGGACGATCCTCAAAAAATTAGAAATTGAGCTCCCATTTGACCCAGCAATACCACTCTGGGAATATATCCCAGAGAGGCAAAAACGTATAGTCGAAGTGACATCTGCACTTGTTTGTTCATTGCAGCACTATTTACAATAGCTAGAATCTGGAAAAAACCTGAGTGCCCGAAAACAGATGACTGGTTAAAGAAACTTTGGTACATCTACACGATGGAGTACTATGCAGCTGTTAGAAAAGATGAAGTCATGAAATTCATATACAAGTAGTATGACATGGAAAGTATCATGCTAAGCAAAATGAGTCAGAAAGAAAGGGACAGACATAGAAAGATTGCATTCATCTGGGGAACATAAAGTAACAAAATAGGAGACTAACACCCAAGAATAGCCGAGATAAGTACCAGGAGGGTTACTCCATGGCTTTGAGGACAGCCGCACATGCTAGGGGAGAAGGCAGCTCAGATAGAGAAGGGAGCACCAAATAAAGGGTGTTTGGAGGTTCCTCTCAGGATGGGAAATGCGTGATGAGAGTAGACTATAGACTGAACAAGATTGCCACTCAATGTCTCTTTTGCAAAAAACAGCACTCAAAAGGAGAGAGATAACAAAAGGGAATACCCTGCCACAGAGTTAGGGTGGGATGGGCGGTGGGTGGGGGGTGGGAGGGATACTGGGACTGGCGGTGGTAGAGAATGGGCAATGGTGGAGGGATGGGTATTCGATCGTTGTATAAGTGAAACCCAAGGACAAAAATTTGTAAGTCTACAACTGTACCTCATAGTGTTTCACTAATAAAAATTTAAGAAAAAAAAAAGAGTGGGGCCTTTCGTTACCTAAAATTATTTTTAAAAAATCATTCAACATTGTGCTCTTTAAGATTTGAGATGTGAATTTCATTCCAGTAAATGTCCAAGAAGCTAAAAAAATTGGTCTTAAAACAAATCAAAAAGCCTAATAATACTGTGAGTCTTACAAAGGAGAGAACCTGTCCTTTGACCTATGATCATTCTATGTTTCTTTCCTCACTACACAGTCCCAGTTATAACACAATTACTCTCAGAGGATACTTGAAGATTGATCATTATTTCAATTCTATACTCTCTATAATTCTCTGGTCTTGGAGACAAAGAAGAATTACTTGACTCTAGCTGAAGTGTATGTGTGTGTGTTTGTGTGTGTGTCTTTATGTTGCGTGTATAAAATCCTTCTAGTACATTAGGCATTTGTGATTCACAGTTTCTTCTTCTTCACCTAGGATTACATAGTCAGAAAAATAATGAAAAGTGAAAAACTGGGATAGGCACAAATCTAAATACCCCAAAGTGATTTTTGACATGATTAGTCATGCTTACATTATCTCATATGCGAACCATTATCCACCTTACCGTAAATTAAAAAGTTCTATTAGAAATGCTTGGAAATTAATATTTAATGATGAGGTATGAACAGTTCTTCTAAATCCTTAAAAGTAAAATTATTACAGATTCACTGCATTATATGAATCCATAAGTGATATTAGAATCTAAATAATAGAAGCAATTACAAAACAATATTTCTTTCAAGAAGTCATGTGTACTAATAGTTTGGGCATTTCTAATACATTGAAGTTTCCTTTGTCTTTTACAAATTAAAACCAATCATTTCATTAGAAAAACTAGTGAGTATGTTGTAGAAACATTACATAGTCAGCTAAACTTCATGTGGTCTCCTAGGAATACATAAGATTTCATATCAGCGAAAAGGGCCTCAGAGACTTAGTTTGCTTTACTCACAATGACAGAAAATAGAAATTTAGATAGATTTTCAAGGAAAACATTAAATCAGAGTAAAACATTTGATTAACTTTTAGTTAGACTGCAAATACACTGTTTCCTGAGACATTTATCTGGGTTTGGTTAGGATCATTGAGAAATTAATAGAATTTATAGTCTGTTTCCTCAATAAAGGATCCAAACTCCCATCCATATCAGATTTTAGCTTGACTGTGCTAGAATTTGTCTCAGCAAGTTGTATGGTAATAGTAAACCCCACCCAATCCCCTTGGATTCATACCCACCTGCATCAATTTCATCCCACCAGATGTTCACATAGTCATCCCGGTCAGTCCTTGACTGTTCATGGTAAAATCCCAAAGCATGAAGGATCTCGTGTTGGATGATGGCTTTATAGTCACAGCCTGCACCAATGGAAAGATTCTGTCCTACGTGTTGGTCACCAACCTCAGACCAGCACCTTCACAGGGAAGAAAGAAATATTCACATATTAAACGCTCATGTGAATGTAATTTATCAGATTCCAAAACAAAATACTAGAAGAAAGTTAGGCTTGATTTTTAAAAGAAGCTAATAGAAATTTTTCATATGCTAATGATTCAATGATAGAGGACTGGTTATAGAAGGAAACATTTATGGCCTGGAGATCTTGTACAGGGGCTAAGTTACCCGTTTTACACACAACCAACCCTGGTTGATGCCCAGCACCACATTTGGTCCAGAGAACCAGTAGGAGTTAACCCTGAGCTCAGTTAATGAGGTCAAAACTAAGTCCAGACCAAGCACAACTGGGGGTTTCCCAACTTCCACCTCCAACAGGAATGTTGGAATAGGAGAGATAGCTCAAAAAGTTGGAACTCATTACTTGCATGGGGACACCCTTGAATATGATGGACTGGTTCTGGTGGCCCCAGGGGATGCCAGAGTCCATGGAATGTTCTCTGAAGGGAATGTTATGCAGACTTTAAAAATGAGTGCTCATTATAAAAACAAATACATTTAAACAAGTTAAACTTAATAATGCACTAGATAAAAAGAAGTATAAATGAGCATTTTTTTCTCACCTTAGCAAACCCATAGGTCTTTCCAAATAGCAAATTGCAAAACAATTGTTTATATTTTTAAAAAATTAAGTTGTTTTTGAATAGTGGCTGAGGCTAATTACATTTTTATCTTTGTGCCCTACTAACTTTTAAAGTTTTCTATTTCACCATACATAATGAGTAGTTATATTTTGATTAAAAAAAATCTTAGAAAGCTAGTTAACTAAACTCAGTGTCTTCGGATGCAAGCCCATCTATAGCAATATGAAGCAGATTATCTAAGAAGTTTTGGACGTGATCATACTGATTTTGTTTTATTTTTTGAAGAAAGAATTATTTTGTTTCTTTTTAAAAGCTTAAATGAAACATATCCAGAAAATTTTTTTTTCTTAAAATATTTGATTGAATAGGACTTTTGTACTTCCTTGAAGCTCAGATGATGCTGAAGGATACGATGAAGAACTCTAAAGTAGAGAACCTCTAGAAATCTGTGGTCTTGGCAAACCCTATGATAGATTTTCTTCCTCTCACCTAAAGAGAAACTATTCTTGTATATTGTTTATATTAAGTAATATAAAAATATTGTTTATATTTATTTATATAACCTCTGATAACAACAAATGACAAATCACATATTCAGAGTAGTTTTTCTGCAAATATTCTCAGTCACAATTGTTTCTCAGCCTCAGCCAGACCTGGAATGACATGAAATCACTGAAGAAGGGGTCTTCTTTCTTGACAGACCATCAATTTCTTTAAAATACATAAATATGAAGAGCAAATTTATATCTAGGACATCTAAAGAGGTCAACCCAGCAGAGTACTATAACTAGAAATGGGACAATTAAAAGGGTAAGTAAAAGTTCATATATTAGTAAACCTGACTTTAAAGTACTATGATTTAAAACATTACCAAAACCTAGAAAAAATATTGAGCTAAGCATTCTTGGAAGTTGAAAATAACCAAAATAGTCCATTTTCTACATCACAACTAAAAATAAGAATTTAAAATTCAAAAGAAAGATTTGATTTTGTTTTTAGTTTCTTTCCAGTTTCTTATTTTAGCCTTTTGAAAATATGTCACTTTATATACAATAAAAGATCTATGATTTTCACACTGAAAAATTTTAGACAAACCCAGTAAAGTTCTGAAAGATGATGTATGTACTCTCTCCTTCATAGGGCTTGAAGTCCACACAGGATTTGAGGCGAAACATTTCAAAGGCATAGAGAATAGCTCCTTTGGCATTCAGGCCTGTGGATATCAATGATATCTATAAGAATTATTTGACAGTAAATAATAATACAGTTTAGAAAGAACTGTGTCACCATATGAAATTCACAGAGATTCTTAGAGATATTCTGATAGTATACAGGTTCCTTGGAAAATAAAGAATTGGTTGCAGAAAAAAACATTGAGTGCATAATTTAAATACTAATGTAAATATAACCATAAAATAAGAATGCACACTTGTGTACGCAACTGAACAAAATCACAAAATAACTTTATTTTTTCCTTTCTCCTTCCTTTCCTGAAAGCAGAGATTCGAAGTGTATTGCCTTCAAAGAAAAAACAAATAGCAGAACAAAATATAGAAGTGACTATGTCATTTCTGTCTTCTGTATGCATTGATTAAGTATCAATTTCTCTTGGAGAGAAAAAATGGCGTTCCTTATTCCAGACCAGAGAAAGAAAACAGAGCACAGAGAAATCTATAGATTCTAAGTTCAGAAGTACATATGGTATTTTATCCTGTTTCCCTGCAAGACCTTTAGGGAAAAGCAAAGTTATTCTTTGGAGTTGCTACTTGAGCTCTACTCTGTCTTTACTGCTTCCACCTTATTTCAGGTCACCTGTTTCTTTGAATTTGTTGCCCACCTTGCAGAAAAGACAGATCATAGTACTCAAGATATGGCTCACAGAACTACAGCACCAGAATCACCTGGGGTCCATTAAGACAGGCAGAATCTAGGTACCACTCCTGACTTACTTTGCACCTTGCCAAGATTCCGGTGTCCCTATAGTAGGTTGAAGTTTAAGAAGTACTGATATATTATACTCCATAGGGATATGAAGAAGATTAAATAAAATATTAAAGGCGAAGTTACCATGCTGGCATATGGTAGAGATTTGTTATGTCAGCATCTTGGTAAGACGCAGGTAGAATAGGTAGACAGATAAACAAGAGGAAAATTCTGCCCCGCTCCCCCATATTATCTTTTTGTTTGATTTTTTGTTTTATTATTATTTATTATTATTTGGCCACATCCAGCTGTACTCAGGGCTTACTCCTAGCCCTGTGTTCAAGGGTCACTCCTGGTGAGGCTTGGGGGGACCATATGTGGTACAGAGATCAAACCTGGGTCAGGCTTACCCACTGTTTTGTATCTCCACCAGTACCTTCTTAACTGTTTATGTTTCTTACAAAATACTCCTATAAATATGATGTCCTATAAATGTCTAAGTGTGCTGGCAAATGTTGGGGGAAAAGGACTGTTGATTTTAAGAAAAGTAACCGAGACAAAGCAGTTATACAGTTAATGCATAGATTTTTCACCAGAAAAGGGATTGGAGGTAGCAATCATAACAGTGATGAAGAACATTGAGTCATAATCTAGATTTCCTGAGAGCGGGAGCAACTTCACAGCCCAGCAAGATTGAGCAACCTTGTACTAACTTCCTTTCTCCTCTTCAATCTTCCCCTCTCTTTGGAGGATGTCTCACAAGTGTCGAGTTATTGTGCCCTCAGTCAATTGTTCAGGGCCAACCAGTGTCCACCTGTAATTTCCAATACCCATCCATTTCCACTGATTAATTCTAATAATGATCAAATTATAAATTTCCAGTCTATTCTCTTGAGAGAACAAAGGTAAGAATTGCTAATATAGATGGACAAGGATTATAAGCAGGTGAAATATAAACTTCTGTTTCTCAAAACTTAGTCATGTTTTGAGGCTAGAGAGACAATCCAACAGGTAGGAAAACTGTCCTGTAAGAAGCTGATCCAGGTTTAATCCTCAGAACCCCAAATGGTTCAGTGCACCGTCAGGAATGATCCCCGAGCACAAAGCCAGGAATATGTGCTGAATATGATCCCAAACCCAAGAAAACAATAAAAACCCCTCAAAATTTTATGTTTTATAAAAACAGAAACTACTATGCTGAAAATAGTATCCTTATACCATATTTATATTACCTAAAGATACTATATAAAGCTGGTATAAAAGTTAAGTAGCCTTAACTGCTTAGTAGCCTTAATACTTAGAAGGTTACCAACTGTGGGTTAATTCCTGGCACAACATGGTTTCCTAAAGCATCATCCTAGAGAAGCCCAAGAAGTAATCCTAGGACATGTTTTCATCTTCCCCTAAAACATCACCCAGAGGTAATGCTGAACTGCATCTCAACACCCAACATAGAGCAGCTGGCCTGATTAGCCAAGAGTTACCAACAGGGTCTTTGAGATCTACAGCACTACTTGGGATCCTCTCTCTCTCTCTCTCTCTCTCTCTCTCTCTCAGTCTCTCTTTCTCTCTCTCTCTCAGTCTCTCTCTCTCTATCTTTCTCTCTCTCTCCTTTCATACACCTACATGTGCACACACACACACACACACACACACAAAGACTACCAGCAAAAAGAGCAAGTGAAGAATTTTCATATGACGACAATGCTGTACTTCAACGCGTTTTTAATTTTGGTAGTCCTAGTTTTACCAACATGCTAATATATACTTCATTTAAAAATTAATGTTGCTTGGATCTGGAGAGATAGTACAGCCTGTAAGGTGCTGGCATTGCATGCAGTCAACCCAGGTTTGATCTATGGAATCCCATATGATTCCCACAATTACCACCAGGAGAGATTCTTGAGTGCAGAGCCAGGAGTAACCCCTAATCGTTGTTGGGTGTGGCCCCAAAACAAGCAAAGAAAACTAATGCTATTTGTGTGTTCTATCTCAGTAGAGAACTGGTTTCTTTATTGCATAAGATCATCAGTAGAGAACTGGTTTCTTTATTGCATAAGATCATCAGTTTCCAGGATTTATGAGTTCCTTTAAACATTGGCGCTTATTCCCAATCTAAAAATGATGAACAGAAGGAAGGATAAAGGTAGAGAAAAAAACTCCAAGATCCTAAATAAGAACAATGAATATTACCCAGATTGTCAGCCAGAATGTAAGGAATGGGGAACTTCCACCTAGTGCTGGGATCTCTCAGGCCATTTCTGGGTTTCTGTAAAGACAAAAGTGGCTGAGGTCACCTCTTGAGATCTCTTTGACCTCTTTCTTCACTAACTCTTCACATCACAATCTGCCTCCCAATTTAAACAGTTTAGTAGTATTTGTTCCTTGATTATAAATGTGACAAAAGTCTATCTTAAATAATTTAAAAAAACTCAGAAAATAAGCACAGAATAAAGAACTACTGCAGTTCCCCCAAATCAAGACAGCTGCTTGAAGCATATTGATGCATTGGCTTTTCTTTCATTCTGCACTCACTAGGATGGATGAGCAGAGTAATTACTACAGACTCAGTAGTGTTTACTATTTATTCCATCTGTTTTTCTCATCACAACCAGAGTGGAAGCACATGGAGATTCAGATTATGGATTAGATTCTTTTATCACCTCCAAGGTGCTTAGCCAAAAGCTGGTCATAGAACAAAGGCTCAGAATTCTATGGCATAACAACCAACCATCTTTAGGAACATAGCAGACAGTACATGGGAGATACTCACATTCAGGAGTATGTCCCCTTGAAAGAGGTCCAAACCGGCAGCTGGATGTGGATTAGAAATAAATAAATATATATTTAGTTAGGCATCACTAAAAGGCACTTTTAGTAAAGCAATCATTTTTCTTTTAAAAATTTTAATTGTTAATCAGTATGAGTGAAACGAATCAAAGTTATCCCAAATTGAGCAAATGAATATTTGTAAATATATATACACACTACACACACATACTGTCACATCCTCTGTGTTCTGAAAGGTTTTTAAGCAAAAAGTGTAGCTCAAGAGTCTTAGATATGAATTATAATATATATTCTCACAAGAAACAAACAGTCCTGAGACAGGAAGTGATGTAAGCAGTAGCCAGTGATTGAGTGAATGTCAGGACTCCTAATTTTTCTTTCTTTCTTTTTTTTTTTAAATAATTTATTTATTTATTGAATCGCTGTGGGAAAAGTTACAAAGCTTTCAGGTTTAGGTCTCGGTCATACAAATATCAATCACATTTCCCTTTACCAATACTTATTTTTCACCACGAAGAACCCCAATAAACGCCCACCCCCCACCCCCACCAATGCCTGTGACGCAGATGAATTCTAGTTAACGCTCTATCTACTTTGCCTAGCTTCATTGTTTCGATAAAAGTTGCACCATTATTATTTAGAGTTTATGCCCCCCCCCAAATCAGACATGCTGAAAAAGCATTGTGAAATGATTTGCTTTCTACAGCTGGGTTCAAGAATTAAATGATGTCGCGCAGCCACAATAGCGGCCGCGCGATCTTGGATTTCTGCTATTTTACTTAGTAACCCTGGAAGTATTTCTACTGAGAGTCAGATAATTAAGAGATTGGTTTCTGTGCTCTGGAGTCATGGCCATGCCGGAGAGCCGCTCGTGGGGGGCAAGTGGTGACCTCGGTAGGGCGTGAAGGACGGGCCGGAACGCCCTCCTTCCCATGAGGTTTTAAGGACTCCTAATTTTTCATCCTGGATCTTTTCTACTATTGTACCATCCACTGACTGATCCTAGATAAATGGATTGATTTTCCTTTTCACATTAAAAAAATGGTACCATCTAAACAAGCTCATGGAGCATATACCCACAATAGAAATTGACAGGATAAATATGCCACTAAATATAAAATATTTTTCAAACCATGAAATGTTTATGTTCAAGACTACCTCTTTTTCTTCCCAATTCTAATACCAAACACCTAGAAGGTAAAGGTTTCTCCTTCAGGACAAGAGGAAAATGATAACTCAGTTTTTCTCTCCTCTTAATAATTCATAAAGTTGATGAATTTCCTTAAGAAATAAATTTGAGGACAAATATTAAAATCAGAACACCTTTATCTCTAAGCAATAGTTGTTGGAAATTATGACGGGCAATTATAAAGGCTATTTTTTCTCGCTAAAGGTAAGTTTTGGCTTATTATTCATATTTTTCTTTAGCAAGAAAAATAATCATCTATTTTTCTTTCTATATACGGAAACTGGAGAAATAAAATTTTAGTAACAAAAATTATGTATATCTACATCCATTGAGAAGTCACTAATGCTCCAAGAAAATCTTCTCTAATCCTTTTCTTTCCACTTTTTAGATTTCTATAAACCCTGCAAGTTCTGAGGAAGCACTAACAAATATTTCTCCCCATAAGTTCTCCCCATAGCATTAAAAAGGAAGGAACTAAGTTGAACCCACCTGAATTGATTTCTGTAATATCCTTCTGTTCATTAAAACCTGTATTATGCCCTGTTAAAAGTTGGAAAAATAGTTTAGTCTTACTGAGCTAAAGAAAGTTCTGAAGTGTCTTTGCATTTCAGTCAATTCTTACCATTTCCTTTAGGATGGTGTTTAATCTGCAAGAAAATAAATAAATATGCATAAAATTCATAATGCATATTTGGATGAACATTTCTAAATATCCAAGGAGAGAAGAACTCTACTTACTGTTACAGCTGCTATGTGAGAAAAAACCAAGATGAAACAGAGAATGCAGGTAGATCTAGCCGAAACCATTGTTGCAAGTGAATAAACTTAGTCAAATACCTTGTGATAAATTCTTTTTGAACCTTGCCCAAGCAAATATATTAGAAACTTTGACCCTTACATATATACCGGAAAAAGTAGGCAAAGAGAATGTCATTGACCCTTTTGAGGACAGATACTAAGTTTAACATAAGAATGCAACTTCTGCAGACCAGAGAAAATGTTGAAAAAGTTAATATTGAAAGTATGTGTAAAATCAATAACATGCCTATATAACTATATAGTACAACAAATAAAGTTAATTTCACAATATAAGTAATCTATGAAATTATTATAAAGTACTTGAATAAAAATAGATAATAGTTTTATTGAAACATAATAAAGGACATCAAATGATCGATACATAGGTATTTACATAGAAAATATTCAGAAATGGGAACTCTGTTCCATAAAAATATTTATTAATATTGGTCTAATAAAAATCTTAACAGGGCTTTTATGGAACTTGACAATATCCAAAATTTACATGGAAGAGTGAACCTCAAGAACAAATAAGAAAATTCTGAAAAGAAACTGCTCTAACAGAATAATCAAGAATTTTTATAAAATTAGAAGAAAGATTATGATAGTGCCCATACACATATCTCTAAGCACATAAAAAAGCATTTCCTAGAAGAGATGAGTTGCAAAACTATGGAAAACTGACCTTTTTAATAATATGTTAGGACAATGCATTTTCATGTGTAGAAGTAATTTATTTTTTTGGCCTACACCAGTCAATGCTCAGAGATAACTCCTTGCTCTATGCTCAGCAATTACTCCTGGCCATGTTCTGGGGACTGTATGGGATGCCAGGGATCTAGCCTAGGTTAGCAGAATTGAAGCCGGTGCCCTATCCATTGTATTATCACCCCAGCCCTGTGAAAAACAAATTCTTATCAACTCAATAAAGTTTATTCTGGTGGAGTTAAGGTTGTAAATATGGAAACCAAGATTAAGTACATCAGATAATATCCTTGCCTTGAGGCTGACCTGGGTTTGGTCCCCAGAACCATATATGATCTAGGGAGATCCCTGAGCAGTGAAGCAGAAGTGGAGTATGAGTGCGGCCACATGTAGCCCCAAGGCCCCAAGGCCATTTTTATTTTAAATTTGTAAATGTGAAAATCTAAACTTTGAAAAAAATATAGCAAACTATCTTAAGCAAACTATCATGAGCAGGAAAGATTAATCAAGAAAAATAAATTAGGAGTCCGAGAGATAGTAGGTAGGGTGTTTGTCTTGCATGTGGCCGACCTGGGTTCAATCCCTGGTATCCCATATGATCCCCCAAGCACTGCCAGGAATAACTCTGAGTGCAGAGCCAGGAGGAACCCCTGAGCATAGCTAGATGCTGGGTGTGACCCAAAAAGCAAAAAAAAAAAAAAAAAAAAAGAAAGAAATTAAAATTATAAGGAAAAGAAAAATAAATTTTGCTGGCTAAAAATTCAAGCTTCTTTATGATAAAAGAATATAGAATTGTGTGTTGTATTCATGTCCATATATGCATGCTAGTTATTAAAGGATTTAATGATATAATCTATCAAGCCACAAGTAAGGATGATACAAGATACTGATACTATATATATATATATATATTTGAAAAGAGTAAGTTAGCCAAAGTACATAAGAAATTTTTATAAATCATAAAAAAGATCTAAGATAAAAATGGGCAAAAAATTATGAGCCCAACCTTCAAATGAGAAAATCCAGTAACAGGAATGCGTCTCAGTGGTGGAACACTTACTTACCATAAAGTAAGTGAGTTCAGTCTCTGGCATGCATCTTGCCACCTCCCCCAACACAGAGTGTGATTCCAGGCACTGTAGATTGCTGGTCAACATTGGCACCATGACTAGAAAAAACATCACCCCTTGTCCCTCCCCAGAAACTGCAACAACAAAAATGTGATTGAAATGAGTTGAAGGGTCAAGAGCAACAATAAAAAAATAGCCCAAATGGTCAATGACCATATAAAAACATTTTATTTTTTGTTTTATTTTGTTCTGGGGCCACATCTGACTGACTCTGTGCTCAGGGGTCGCTCCTGTCAGTGCTGGGGTGGACAGTGGGGACGGGCAGAGAGAACCGTATGCTGTGCCAGGGATTAAATCCAGGTGAGCCACATGCAAGGCAAGTGCTTCACCTGCTATACCATCTCTCTGGCCCTATAAAAGCATTTTCAATGATACAAGTCATCAGGGAAACATCGGTAACATGAAACAATGAAAAACTCGCTCCCATCTTGACTGGCATAAATGAATAAAGTTAACAATAACAACTGTTGACAACAGTGTAAAGAAGCAGGATATCTTAATGCATGGCTGGTGGCATAGCAATTTAATAGTGTCTGATACGTTGGAATATGAATTGTTTATAAGTTAGAAGTTCTACCTCTCGATAAAGAAATCCACACATATATTTAAAAAGTACCATGAAATATATTCATTGCTGTACAGGTATTTTTTAGTAATAATAAGGAGCTGGAAGTATTAGAACAAACAAATAATAGTGAAAAAATGTAAACTAGAAGAAAAGATTAATTTTTGGATTTGTACAGTCGTGTGAAGGTGAAGCCTGCTCAGATTGGGGCTGAGCATCCTCCACCCAGATCCTCCATCTTCCATTAGGCAGAGGCCACACCCACCAACTGGCCCCCTGGCACCGTGTAATCCCATCAACTGTCAAGACCCAGAGACTATAAAACCCAGCTCCTGGAAGCTCCCGACATCTTACTATCTCATTCTTACTTTGGACAACCTGGCAGGCTACCGAATGTAACCTGCCCACACGGCAGAGTCTGGCAAACTCCCCGTGGTGTACCCAATATGCCAAATACCAGTAACAATGATGGGTCTCATTCTCCTAACCCTGAAAGAGCCTTGAACGTGGCACTTTTTAAAATCTCAGGGCTAGAATGAAGGAGACGTTACTGGGGTCTGCTCGAGGCAATCAACAAACAACAGGATGATCGTGATCGTGATCGTGTGAAGGTGAATGACTCAAGAAACGAATCAATGTATGGTGTTTGCTGGTTTCTGGAGTGTAAATCCTCCTACCATAGTCAATTTTAAGTTTTCTACACTTTCCTTCTCAATGCAATATTGAAGGCTGTATAGTACATGGCTCTCTCTTTCTCTCCTGGATCTTATTGCCTCTACTGTTGCATCTTTCTACTATTCCCCACACAAGGTGTAACAATCTTTGCTAAGACTAATCCACATGGTTTAGAGCCTCAAATAGACCGGAGAGAGGGACCAGCTGGATTGTACAAAAAGCATTCCCCGAGACAACAGCATTTCTGCTGGCAGAAGCGGGGGCTACTTGAGCCGTAAGCAGGACGCATGACCTCTGAGAGCAGCTCTGACAGGGCAGAGGTGGTCAAACACTGAACAGTTACTTGCAACTTTTAGGGGAAGATGTGAAAGAACATTAGGAGGCACTGACCACTGGAGGACAGCAATGTTTTCTAAAGCTTGACAGTTCAAATGTCAGGTCAGGAGATAGAATTTTTATAATTAAAAAATCAACTTAGAGGGATTTGATGAATAGCAGTTCATTGAGAGCAATTGACTCTAAATGTTATGGAGGAAAGCACTGAAGAGTATTATTTTATTTTACTTTGGGGGACGTTTTGGGGTCACCTCTGGTTGTGTTGGCAACTTATTCCTAGTTCTGTGTTCAGGGATCTCCCCTGGCAGTGTTCAGGGAGTCATAAGTGGTGCTGGTGGTCAAATTGGGGTCAGTCACATGCAAGCAAGCACCTTAATCCTTGTGCTATTTCTTCAGTGCTAGAATCACAATCACGATCATCCTGTTGTTCGTCGATTGCCTCAAGCAGGTGCCAGTAACGTCTCCTTCATCCTAGCCCCGAGACTCTAAAAAGTGCCACATTCAAGGCTGTTTCAGGGTTAGGAGAATGAGACCCATCATTGTTACTGGTATTTGGCATATTGGGTACGCCACGGGGAGTTTGCCAGAATACAGTGCTAGAATATTATTTTTTTAAAAAAATTCTGATCCAATAATGACCAAAATGAATATTCATTAGTTCTCTGGTAGGAAGAGCGGGGATTAGTCTCTGATTTTGTTTTCTAAAGCAATGAATGCTCTTACTTTGAAACTGTTCCTTATTTTAATCTTCAGTATTCAGATTTTAATCAGGAAGCTCTCTGGTGTATAATTCTCTTTCCCTTTCCCTATCCTTGATCACACTTGCTTTCAACTTACCGTTTACTCTTAAACTTATCCAAATAAAAATAAAGTGTAATGAGGATTTTGGAGTCAGAGGATTTTAAATTCCACCTTTCAACAAGCTCTGGCACTTAAGCGTATACTTTCGAAGGGCTAAACATTTAGTGATGCATCAAATGAAAGGATTCTGAGAAATAACTTATATAAACCACAAGGATCAGAATCAAGGATACAATCAACTAGCACTTTCCTTATCTATATAACCTGCTTCCTGGCAAATCACACACAGTAAGAACTCAGAGGCTGACACTCTTCTTACCCAGTGGGACTTCGGTGATGGGATCATAGGTCTTCAGCAATGTCATCTTTCCCAAGAGATTTTCTTTTTATGATCTTGACTGCAGTGTTAATTAGTTACCAGTGATTTGCAACCCTCAGTACTTCTTCTAGTATCCAGCATGTCAAATGAGCAAAGCTACAGTTCTCGTTTTGAAGGATTTATGATTGGCCCTTAAAAGATAACGTCTCTGGTACAATATGGAAAGTACCATGCTAAGCGAAATGAGTCAGAAAGAGAGGGATAGACATAGAAAGATTGCATTCATCTGGGGAATATAAAGTAACAAAGTATGAGATTAATACCCAAGAATAGCTGAGATCAGCACCAGGAGGATTACTCCATAACTTAGAGGCCAGCCGGGTATCCTAGAGGAAAGGGCAGTTCAGATAGAGAAGGGAGCACCAAATAAAGGATGTTTGGAGGATCCTCCCAGGAGGGGAGATGCATGTCAAAAGTA